GAAAATGAAAAGGAGTTACGAGTGGAGGGTAAAAGTTCTAATGTGATATTCTAGTTATGTTTGCTGATCTGGTTTAATATGTTTTGCTGATCATTTATACTGTAACCTAGCTTTAAATAAATGGGCCTGTGTATGACTTATTTGATTTTCTTCCAATAATAACCATTGCCTTTCTTAGAACTTTCTATTGTCGCTCAACATCCAATCACTGAGGGACCTAAAAAAAAGGTTGTAGTTCAGGTGCCTCGTCATGGATTGAATTGTGTCTCCCCAAAAACGCATGTAGCAACTTGGCTAGGTCATGATTCCCAGTATTGTATGATTGTGTTATCTGATGTGATTTCCTCATGTGTTGTAAACTCTATCACTATGATGGGATTATATGTGATCTCCTTATGTGTTGTAAATTCTATTACTGTGATGAGGTTATACTGATGAGGTTGACAAGATTAGACAGAGTCTTAACGCAATCTCTTTTGAGATATAAAAGAGAGAAGCGAGCAGAGACACATAGGAAACTCATACCACCAAGGAAGCAGTGCTGGGAGCGGAGCGCGTTGTTTGGACCTGAGGCTCCTGTGCTGAGATGCTCCCAGACCAAAGGAAGACTGATACATCACAAGGACCTTCCTCCGGAGATGAGAGAGAGAAAGCTTCTCCCTGGAGCTGACGCACTGAATTTGGACTTGTAGTCTACTGGACTGTGAGAAAATAAACTTCCCTTTGTTAAAGCCATCCATTTGTGGTATTTCTGTTAGAGCAGCACTAGATGACTGAGACATACCTCTACATCATTATGCTGCTAGATATTTTGTAGTTTGCCTTGATGATCTGATAGTCAGGTCCTTAAAATAACTGTCATTTTCCCACATTGAATCTTAATGTTATTTTAAATATCACTTCTTAGCTCAGTTTCTTGGGCGAAGGGGAAGAGTGAAGGCCTACCTGGACATCACTGCCATCCAATCTCCTACACACAGGTCAGATAGTTCAGAAGACATCTTTGGATGGAAAATTACTTTCTTTTTCTTTTCTTAAGGGGGTGGAGGAGGCAGAGTGCATAATTCATCTATGTTTTTACACCTAAGGACATTTCTAGCTTTATAAAAACTCACTACCCCCAAATCCCAATTTTTAAAACAAGTTAACTAGGTAGCAGTTACACACAAAGATGCCTTGACTTAAAAAAACATCACTGGAAGTTTTCTTTTAAACAGCTATCTACTCCTTTACTTTACTTTTCCCATTATGTTTCAGAAAGCTATTTAGAAATTTCAGGAGTCTATCTACTTCATAGAAGACCTGGTGGCACAGTCGTTAAGCACTTGGCTGTTCAAACCCACCAGCTGCTGCATGGGAGAAAGATGTGGCAGTCTGCTTCCATAAAGATTTATAGCCTTGGAAACCCTATGGGGCAGGTTTACTCTGTCCTATAGGGTCACTATGAGTCAGAATCCACTCAATGGCAATGGGTTTAGTTTTGGCTTGAGTACCTACTTCATAAGAGCCCTGGTGGTGGTGCAGTGGTTAAGCACTCAGCTGCTAACCAAAAGGTGGACGACGGTTTGAACCCACCATCTGCTCTTCAAGAGAAAGATATGGCAGTCTTCTTCCATAAACATTACAGCCTTGGAAACCCTATGGGGCAGTTCTACTCTGTCCTATAGGGTCACTATGGGATGGAATTGGCTCGACGACAACAAGTTTTGGTTTACTAAACTGAAGGTTGGCGATCCAAACCCACTTGGCTGCCACAGAAGAACAGCCTAGCAATGTACTTGCAAAACCCTAGGGACCAGTTCTACTCTGTAACATGAGTCAGAATCCACACTGGATGGCAATGGCTTTATCTACTTCATGAACAGAGGTGGTTTTAAAAAAAGTAATAACTGATTATAAAACTTATTTTTAGAAAAATTGGGAAATAGAAATATTTTAAAAATAAAAAAATTTGTAATTCCAGGGTTAAGAGCTTTACCATTCTGGTATATTTCCTTGTAGGATTTAAAAATTGTGTTTATTATGTTTGTGTATTTTTAGAGCCTGTGTTTTTAACCTCTAAGATTATGGGTCGCAAGGCGTGGCCCTCCGGAGTGCCAGCACCTGATCCTGAAGAGTGCTGTCAACTGTCAGCAGGTACTGCTTACCTTTCTGCCCTGTGGAACCGGCTGCCCAGTTACACGAAACGCTCTAGAAACACTCCCTCCTTTCTTCTCTCTGCTCCACTCCCTAAACTTTCGTTTCAGCTGCAGATAGTCTCTTCGGCATCCCGCTAGCTCCAGCCCTCTCTCAGTCTGCTCCCAAACAAAAAATTCTCTAAGAGTCATGGCGAGGACGGAGGCGGCAGACTCTCCTTCTGGAAACCGGAGGCGGAGGCACACAGCAGAGAGGCGCAGACGAGTGAGCCCCATCTGCGCGCGCTCCCGTCTTCCCCCGCCCTCCGCAAGCGCGCCAGCGCCGAGCGCGCGCCCGCCCCACTCGGGCGGAGACGCGCCGGGGAAAGCGCGCGGCCGACAGCCAAGGGCGCCATTTTGGGCTCGGTGTCTGGTGAGGGTGTCTCTCGCGGCGACAGAGCAGAACGCAGACGGCGTGGGACGAAGAAGGAAGACTTCTTCCTGGGCAGCCAGAGCGGCAAAGGTGGAGCCGCGCTGGTGCTCGCCGCGGGACTAGCGCCTCGGATGCAGGCAGAGCGCGGGGGGCCGCGGCGACGGGAGCGCGAAGCCGGGGGCTTTGGGGGCCTCATGTGAGAGCCACGGGACCAGCCGCCGCCGTCCCCGGAGCCCGGGGTGGTGTGTGGGGGAAGCCGACCCCGGCAGCAGGTAACGGCGGAAGGGCAGGAACTGAGCCCGTCTGCGACGGCGGGGTAGGGGAGGGTCCACCGGCCATTTCTGGGCGGATGAGTGGGTCGCGGGGGCGCAGGGTCCCGGACGCGCGCGGACTGTCTCTCCGAGGCAGGGCGGGACGCGGCGCCCAGACCTCGAAGTCAGCTTGGGGGCGTTTCCCCGCGGTGCTGTCTTCAAAACATGTCAACAAAGGTGTGTGCGTGTGCGGCGGCCGCGTGCAGTACGCCCCGCGACGCAGCCGCGCCTGGGGCTCGCCACGGCTCTTCGCTCGGGTTTGTTACCCTTGCCAAGGTTTGGTGACAGGCACTGTGGAGCTCGCTCTGCGAGGGTCTTCGCGGCGACGGCTACGCCCGTGCTTGTAGCTTGAGAAATTAGAGATACTAAGTTATCGAAATAAATTGCCAGGTTACAGCGCACGAGCTCTGGCAGGGAAAGCCAGTCCGTGGAGGTGGCACGGGGCGGAGGGGAGGCGGGAACGCCTCTGCCGCGTAGCTGAGTGGAAAACTTGGTCAACTTGTGATGAGCAGTTTCGCGCCTGCTTTTGGCGTGAGCGGCATATTTTTAGGGTGGAGTTACAGTGATCAGATAGCATTAAATGACTGGTCTGAATCTCCAAGTCAAAAGGTGTTGTCCAATAATTAGATTTTTTTTTTTAACTTGAGAATCTCTACTACTCATGAAATACCTATAAAAATGCCACCAACTCCCAGTTGTGTATGTATGACCACGAGACAGATTTTCACCACGTTCTCCCTGCCATCCAGTTCTGAGAGTTCATCTCTTTCCACCCTTTTTTTCATGTGTTCCAGCTCAAGAAGGCATTTTGATATTAGTCGAAGCAGAACATAAATGGAAAGGAAATATGATACCAAAACAGGCTTTTTTAGTTTTCCAGAGCTAAATACAAATGGGCCTTTAAAATTACTACATGCCCAGGGTAGGTAAGGAGTCCTGCTGGCTCAGTGGTTACTTGGTTGGCTGCTAACCAAAAGGTCGGCAGTTGGAATCCACCAGCCCCTCTTTGGAAACCCTATGGGGGCAGTTCTGCTCTGTCCTATTCAGTGGCTGTGAGTTGGAATCAACTGGATGGCAATGGGTTTGGTTTGGTTTAGTGTTTGTATAACGAGCCCCGGTGGCACAGTGGTTAAGTGCTTGGCTGCTCAGTTCCAACACTGTTCCAGTCATTGGAGAAAGACCAAGCAGTCTGCTTCCTTAAAGATTACAGCCAAGAAACCTGTACGGGGTAGTTCTGCTCTGTCACATAGGGTCATCATATTTTTTAAAAGCGATTTGACAGCACCTAACAATGGTTAAGAGCTTGGCTGCTAACCAAAAGGTTGGCTGTTTGAATCCACCAGCCACTCCTTGGAAACCCTATGGGGCAGTTCTCCTCTGTCCTGTAGGGTCGCTGTGAGTCAAAACCGACTCGATGGCACATAACAACAACAAACAACAGCAAATGTATGTCAGTGCCTGAAACAACGAGGGGGCACAGCCAAGGTTCTCTTCTGCTCGTCATCTGTTTGATAATCAACTTGACTGCCCCTTTCAGAGTTATATGGAAATGTTGAGTTAGCTCGGTAACTTCGTGTGCTGCTGCTGTAGTTTTTCCTCCGTAGTTTGCTTTTTGGCCCTTCATAGTCCCTCACCAAAAGCTCTAGTGCATCGTCCCTCACCAGAAACCCTAGTGGCCTAAATTGCATTAATTATTTGAGGTCTGGAAAAGTTGGAGTTCGAAATTAAATTGCTGAGGCTCTGCAGAGGCCTGGGTCTCTTTGATGTTTATTTTCCAGCTCGTCCTCTCCACTCCTGTTCAGATATTAAAGGTGTTTTCACTTTGATTAAAAGGAGGAGATAAATAAATCCCTTGACGTAAATTATTTGCAGACTGATGGATGTGTAAATAGGTACAATAAACTACTTTTGAAAACAGTATAAATTTTTGCATGAATAGATGAGGTCAACTTGGAAAAAATGACATTTAAAAATTTTATTAGGGGCCCACTCCTGTCTCTTATTTTTATGCTTGTGAGGATAATAACCAAAAAAATCCATTGCTGTTGAGTCGGTTCCCACTCATAGTGATCCTGTAGGACCAAGTGGAACTGTCCCATAGGGTTTCCAAGGAGTGGCTGGTGAGTTTCGAAGTGTCAGCCTTTTTTTGGTTAGCAGCCAAGCTCTTGACCACTGTGCCACCAGGGCTCCCTGAGGATAATACAGAGAACATTTTTATCTGCATTTGGCCTTATTTTTATAGATGCACTATTTTTGATGGGTTAATATACTAATGTACTAACAAATTATCACATTACAGTCATATTACTTGACAACTCAGTTATTTGTTCAGCTGTTCATAAACTAGTAAGTGCTTAAAATATACTTTGGTGATCATATCTTTTTAGGCTAAGAGAAATACAATATCTTAGTGTTGCATAATTTTTATATTTTTCAGGTTTTTTTCCCCTTCTCAACTTGGAAAAGTATTAAAATATATGTTGTTTGAAACAGGGCTGTAATAGGCAAAATAAAGTATGCATTGTTAGGACTAGCAGAGTATTAGCAGAGAAAACTGTGAATAAGGCAGTCATTTTATTTGTTTATATGTCTGAGGTAAAATGGAGAGAGGCAGTCCTGGGTTATGAACGTCCTGACTTAGGGACAACTCTTTAATATTATGTAAATTTGCCCTCACTTTGCAAGGAGTGAATCAACCCCTACTCAAAACAAATACTTCATCACAGTCTCCTTCACTTGCTGCACGTGCAGCTTTTAAATCATTGAAAAGGCTTTGAGCCTTTTCTTGCACTAAAATAAGGCTAAGTAAGAACCATGTGCACCTGTAACTGACTTACAAATTCAGCTTAAATACACATTTAGGAACAGATCTCGTTTGTAACCGGAGGACTGCCTGTAATTTATATTTTGAGGTAAAATGAATATTTCCAATTTTAAATTGAATAATTCTGATTTTAGAAGCCTTCCCTCCAGAAGCAGATGAGCATTCTATAATTAGGAGTAGAAGTTATAAAGACTGCTTTATTCTAGTTTGAATCTCTGTATCTCAAAATTTTAGGCAGTCACAGGAGAAATTATAAGCCCTGGGTAGCAAACTCTTTGTTCTTTGACCCACATTTTATATGCTAAAATTAAAGTAATCTCCAGGATAAGTTAAAGCAGAAAAATGGGTCGTAATGACAGTGCTTTCTCAACCTCTAGTGGGGCATTGTTCCTAGCAGAGATTGTTTTTATGTTAAAGGTTACATTGTAGATTATCATATTTTTTCTCTAAATACACTTTTTAAAATATGTTCTTAGATTCACACGTTTAAGTCTTACATAAAACTACTCTTTTGCTATCACCTCTATTATTCTGTTTTCTCTTCCTCTCCCTCTTCCCAGTAGGGTATGAATCATTCACTTCACTTTACTCGTATAATTGGAAGTAGGAGCAATGAAGAATAGGTAGTTATTGCATATGTGCTAAGACCTCCTGGGCTGATTTTCATGGTATGAAAGCCAGGTGTATCTGTTATTCTGCCTCTACTCCAACCCCCAATCCTCTTTCACAAGTTTTGCTAGCTACTGGGTGGAGAAGGAGCCCTGATGGCGCAGTGGTTGAGAGCTACGGCTGCTAACCAAAAGGTCAGCAGTTTGAATCCACCAGTTGCTCCTTGGAAACCCTATGGGGCAGTTGTCCTCTGGCTTCCAGGGTCACTGTGAGTTGGAAATCATCTCAACAGCAACCAGTTTTTTTAGATGGAGAAAGTCTGCGCAGACATACTTGTTTACCGTCATGCATATGTACATCCTTCTTCCCTCACAGCAATCAGAGAAATTCTCATACTCTTGTGTGCCAGGAAAAGGGAGTTGGAGCCACAAACCGTCCTTTTGAACGGCTGTGACTCCAAGTCGGGGTCCAAACCATTACCTTGCCAAATCTGTTCTCTAAAGACAAAAGAAAAGTATTACAGGCTCTAAACTAAATGGGGTGCTGATGAGTGGCCTGCATTTACCCCCGTTTTGTATTACGTTGCTATGAATCGGAGTCGACTCAGTGGCATTGGGTTTTAGTTTAGAGCCTGCAATACTTTCCAACAAACAAAAGACCTTTTTATATGATTACAAACTAATGCGTTGACATTAAAAGAAATGTGTAAAATAAAAGAAGCATATTGACCAAAAAATCACTTGTAATTCCACCACCTACTGTTACTGTAATAATTTGGTGAATCTACTTCCAGTGTGTGCTTCTCATATACTGCTCCTCTCTCCCTCTCCCTCCTTCCCCTTCACTCTTTTACACACGCGCACACACATACTCTCTTTGTTTTAAAAAAATATTAGGAGCATGCTTTGCCTTTTGTTTGGTAACCTCCATTTTTACTGTCTTGTGCACATTGATGTCTGTAATACTGAGCTGTTACACCTGAGTTCAACAATCATCTCCTTTCAAAAACCCTAATACTATTTAATTGCTCACAGCAACCCTACTGATACTATCTCCATTTTACAAACTGGAGCACATCTAGGTCAAGTAATTTGCTCAGGACTACATAGTCAGTGAGAGGTGGAGCCAGGATTCAAACCTGGGGAGCTTGGTTTCAGAGTCCATTCTTTTTAATCATAATGCTGTTTTATCATTAAAAAAAAAAACAAAAACCTATCTTTCAAAGAAACAGATGGAACGAAGGTAGTAAGAATACGTAGAATAAACTTGTGTCATTCAGAAGTACAGCTTGGGGAAAATGTTGCAATAGTAGGAGATGTGTTGGAAGAAGAAATCACATTCCAGAACAAACACTCCATAGTAAGGATGGGTTTGCTTATTTTAAGCAGAGATTGGAAATGCCTGACAGTAACATATCACAGACTGTTCAGTATGGAAAGATCTATGGCTGCTTAACTCAAATCCTCTCTGGAGGTTGCTGGGACCCTGGTCTGCCTTGAATTCAGGTACTCAAATATAGCAAGTATTCTGAGATGACTTTTAAGGAACCTTTAGAAGGTGTCATTGTAAGTTCCTATTTACATTTTTCTTAGTTCACGACAGATTTTGAAATACAAATTCTTGGTTTAGCTTCAAAATCACAATAAGCTTTTCCCCTAGTAGAGTATAAATTTAAATGTTTAAAAACACCTGCCACAAATGTATAAAACCACAGTTGATCTCCATTAGCATTTTTCATTATAATTTGTTTTGATACTCTTCTGGAATTACTGTCCAGTTCTTCCTGCGTGTTTGTGTTTGTATATATAGTAAATAGATATATAGATGTAGATATATACATCTATAGGTAGATATGACAGAAAAATGAATTTTGGATTTCTTTCCATTCAGCAGTTAAGTAGAATGGGGAAAAAAAAAAGATTCGTTTTTCTGACTAGGATGAAACGTGGAGGAAGAGATACTGACCAAAATTCATCAGAAGAAGGTACTGCAGAGAAATTCAAGAAACTGAGGACTACAAATGCACATTCTCAGACTTGTGATTGGGGTAATCTCCTTCAGGACATTATTCTTCAAGTATTTAAGTACTTGCCTCTTCTTGATCGGGCTCATGCCTCACAAGTTTGCCGAAACTGGAACCAGGTATTTCATATGCCTGACTTGTGGAGATGTTTTGAGTTTGAACTGAATCAGCCAGCTACATCTTATTTGAAAGCTACACATCCAGAGCTGATCAAACAGATTATTAAAAGACATTCAAACCATCTACAGTATGTCAGCTTCAAGGTAATACTTTTAAATTCTTCTTTTAAAAGACAAAGCATTTTTCCGAAACTGTTGCCCTGACATAATTTTTAAACCTTAAACCAAAAATGTCCCCTGAAGTCATCTTAAAACCGAACAGTAGTTTAGCTTAACTCGTATAAAGGGTCTACCTAGAGCATTATGCTCTTTTAAGAACTATCTGTATCGGATCAAATTGACAACAGCAACTGGAAAGATTAGACAGGAACCTTAGGGGGCAGTGAGTTTATGGTAATGGGAGAGGAACAGTTCGAAAAGGAGGGTGAGAGTGATTGCACAACCCAGAAAGTGTAATCAGTGTCACTAAATGGTACATGTAGAAACTGTTGAATTGGTGTATGTTTTGCTGTGTATATTCTCAACAACAACAAAATAAAATTTAGAAAAGAAAACATTTTTTCGTGGCTTTTCTGTCATAAATTAATACATCTCATGTTTTTAAAATATTTGCCTTTTTAGGGAAAGTGCAAGGATTTAGAATTATTATGTACCTTAGAAGCTGTCACAAATAATTGTGATATTTGATAAAGCCAACTTACTCATTTTAACATAATTATTACTAATTTTTAAGATAGCAGAAGTAGCTACTAAATAAGCATGAATCATTAACCAAAGTTGTCAATTACTGAATTCTGAACAAATTTGAGGAAAAGGAATATATAATAAATAAAAATGGGAAGATTATGATTCAGTAAAACATAATTGCTATTTCTATCTAATAGAGACTGAGTGTTGCTTACCAAAAAACCAAACCAGTTTGCCATTAAGTAGATTCCGACTCACAGCGACCGTATAGGACAGAGTAGGACTGCCCCATAGGGTTTGCAAGGATCGGCTGGTGGATTTGAACTGCCGACCTTTTGGTTAGCAGCCAAGCTCTTAACCACTGCACCACCAGGGCTCTTAGTGTTGCTTAGTGAGAGCTTTATGATATGGAGTCAAAAATGTTATGTAGAAGATTTAGATGAATATTACTTTAGAGATAAATAGACATAGGTTTGTGGCAGATTGCCAAAGAACTGTTTCTTCTCGTTGCTGGAAGGGACGTGTTGGAAATCATGGCAGTGATGATGAGAACATAGATGAGATGAAGAAGTGGAATGGCTTTTTGAGATCCTCAGAATGGTTTAAGAAATCACAGTAGTATGTGTGTGTGAGTACAGAAGCTTGTAATGTTTTGGGAACGAACAATGGAACTTGGGCATGTTTATTGAATTTTTAACTAGACACCAGATTTTCTGTAGCAAACAACTGACAGTTATTTTTGAAAAGAAACAACATGTGAATACCTGATTTACCTATGTGTAGCTTTTGTAAACAGGCAAGTTAAACGTAGATAGAGCAGTGGTTCTTAACCAGCAGGTCCTTGCCATAACAAAATGCCGGTCTTTCCTCAAGAATGTCATTTCTCTCTTGGATGGAGATTATTTGCTTATTCTTGCATATCCTCTCTCTGTGTCCAAGGAGGAGGAGAGACCTGGTGATGTAAATGGTGGGCTGTATTGCAGCCTTCTTCCCAGAAAAATGCACAAAGGCACTTAGGCCACTGAAGGTGGGGTTGCTGTGGTTAGCAGATAAAAATACACAGGACACCTAGTGAAATTTGATTTTCAGATAAACAATCTTTTAGTATAAATGTGTGCCGGGCAGTATTTGGCATATACTTAACCCTTAAAAATTATTTGCTATTTATCTGAAATTCTAATTTAATTGGCTATCCTGTATGTTGTTTGCAGCCCTAATTGATTGGGGGTGTAGTGGAACGGTTGGGAAGGGATCACAACAAACAAAAATCCAGGAACTCCTTATCCCTCTCCCCCCAGTGAAAAAACTAAAGAGCCTTCCTTTTGGTTCCAGTCATCTTCGAATAGTCTAAGAGCATTCTAATGGTATGTCCTATTAAAAAAAAAAAGTATAATGCATTAATCTGATAGTTCTTAAAGGCCAATTCCATCCACTAGATTGGCTTGATCAGTTTTGTTCTTTCACAGCCCTGTGACATGGTTCAGTTGTATCCAACTTTTATAACCGTCACAAAGCCATTTATCCTATAAGTGTAAAAGTTTCTACTGTTTCTTTTGCTGAGGAAATAATTTCTGATTTACAAAAAAGAGTCACATCACAGAGTTCTTCTGGGCTCTCCTGATGATATTTGTGTTTTAATACATTACTGACTATAGGCGAAGGAGACTTAGAGTTATTAATGTAGAACAGTGATTCTCAAACTTTGTGCATCAGAATCACCTGTAGGGCTTATTAAGACAAAGATTTCTGGGCCCCACCCCCAGAATTTCTGATTCAGATGGTTTGGGTTAGGCATGAGAATGTGTATTTTTGACAAGTTCCCAGGTGACGTAGATGCTACCGGTCCAGTGACCACACTTTGAGAACTACTAATGTAGAGAAACAACCAAAGGATATAAAACAGCTCTGAATCTGTAATATTAGTACTAATTAGTATATTAGTTTTACAGCCAGCTCTTCAGAACATTTTTGGGTTAAGGCAGTATACATACAACAATCTGGAAATTAATGATAGTCCTTTTTTTCCTTCCTTTAAACTGTGGTAAATACATATATAAAACAAAACATTTGCCATTTCAATATTTTTTACATGTACAGTTCAGTGACATTAACTACATTCATCGTGTGTAACCATCACCACTATCCATTTCTAAATTACTTTTTAACTATTCTGTTTTAAGATGCTTTTTAGCCCAGGAAACAATTTCCTTTTGAGGGAAGAGCTCCTTATATCCCTGAGTTTACCTGGGTTTTTTGCCCATACTAGCCTTTCCCCAGGAAATCTCTATGAAAATTAGTGTGTGAGAGCAGCTACCTCTCCTGGTTGTTTGGTTTAGATTTTCACACTTTACTTCATTATACTTAACACTAATCTTTCTATTAATAACATTATTGATGAATCCCAGACTGTGAGTCACCTGAGCATTCTGAGAAAATACTGTTTCTAGTGCCTTAAAACATGTATATTATAAACATTGTAATTACATATATTATATGATCCATATTCAAGTATATAATTATTTTTTCAAAGATTATAAATTCATTTATCCCATTAGGTTATACAGTTTGTTTGGATTAAATCAACTTAAAAGCTGAGTTCTTTCCACTTTAAATATATATCCTATAACAAAAGCTAACAGTCTTGACAGTTGTCTTTATAATTTTTCAGGGGGCCTTACCCCAAGGTTGAATTTGTATGTAAGGGTGGGTGACTGAAAGAATAAATATTCTGTACTGCACTAAACTAATAACTCTTTTTACTTTTGTAAAATTAAAATATGTATATGGAAGTCTAAATATATGCATGTAGTAAATGACATTTTCTTTTCCAAGGTGGATAGCAGCAAAGAATCAGCTGAAGCAGCTTGTGATATATTATCGCAACTTGTAAATTGCTCTTTAAAAACACTTGGACTTATTTCAACTGCTCGGCCAAGTTTTATGGATTTACCAAAGGTATCTGCTGGTTTTGTTTTATTAGCTGTTACTGAGAGATGCAAGTGAAACCATAATCATTTCTTGTATTGACAATGGGAGTGTAAGAAAAGTAGTACGTATAATGGAAAGCCAGTTACTATCTAGAATGTTAAGAAATGTTGGTAGTTGCTGTCACTTTGATTCCAACTCACGGTGACCCAATGTGTGCAGAGTACAACTGCTCCATAGGTTTTTCAAAGCTACCATTTGGAAGCAGATCGCCAGGCCTGTCTAAGTTGCCTCTGAGTAGGTTCGAACTGGCAACCTTTTGGCTAGTAGTCAAGTACTTACCCATTTTTACCACCCAGGGCATCCAGTGTTAATACGACTTTTAAAAAGGTTTTTTTTTCCATCACTTGTGCTTTTCCATTGGTGAGGTTAGAGCATGAATGAATATATAGTGTAGATATTTTAGTTACATACAATGTAAGAACATTTGAAGAACTTTCTAAATTTTGGATTCCTATCCCTATTCTAAGGTTCCCTGGTGGTGCAGTAGCTAAATGATTTGCAAAATCAAATGATCCATTATCAAATATATAATTACGTATTTATATGGGTATATTTTTTGTGATGTGACTCAGTTTCTTTGTTGGTAAGGTTAAAGGGTAAATGAATTTACAGAGGATTCTGTAAGAAACACTGAAAGAAATTAATAAAGTAAAACTGAGGAACAAGTATATTGAAAAAGAGACATGGACATGTACATATATGTCCCTTTTTGGATATTCAGAGCAGGTTGGTGAAATCAGAATCAAAGTAAAGAGTACCAGTATGAGAGCAGATATAACTTGCTTATAAAACTTATGATTAGTGCTATAAAGATTTATTCTTGAACAACAGTAGTATCAGTACAGTTTGGATTAACATACAAATTTTATTTAATGAAAACAAGTTTTTGTGATAAGATAACGATTTATATTCATAAATATGGTCTAACATGATTCTGCACACAATTAGAGATAATTTCTCTCCATAGTAACTGTTCTTATTAAAGTAGAAAAATAAGGGTTCATTTTTAGGAGGCAAGTGATAGTTAAAGGCCCGTGAATATGTGAGCTCATGTAAAGTAGGTTGGTATCCAACAATAATTTGAAAGCTTTTTTTAGAGTAAATCACAAACTAAAACATTGATACCCTTGTAAACACCTAACAGTTTATTTACTAGGATGATTCAGGAAGGAATACTACTAAATTGAGTGGACATTTTAACCCAGGTGGTTGTTTCATTGCAATAGGAGTAACAAATGTATCACCAGTTGATTTCAAAATCTTAATCAGTTTAATAAAATTTCAATTAGACATACATTTTGAGATCAAATGTTTTCTTCATGTAAAATGGGCAAGAGAGTCTATTCTACATTTTAAAATTTGAAGTACATGAGTTAAATCACTGGTTTTCAAACTTAATGTACATAAAAATCATTTGAAGAACTTTCTAAATTTTGGATTCCTGTATTTTGGAACCCTGGTTGCATAGTGGTTTAGAGCTACGGCTGCTAACCAAAAGGTTGGCAGTTCAAATCTACCGCCACTCCTTGGAAATCCTGTAGGATAGTTCTACTCTGTCCTATAGGGTTGCTATGAGTCGGAATCAACTAGACGGCAACGAGTTTTTTTTTTGTTTTTTTTTTTAATCCTTATTCTGAGGAGCCCTGGTGGGTGGTTAAAGCAATTGACTGCTAACAGAAAGGTTTGTGGTTCAAAATCACCAGAGGCTCCACAGGAGAAAGATGGGCAGTCTGCTTCTGTAGAGATTTACAGCCTTGGAAACGCTATGGGTTCACTGTGAGTTGGAATCAGCTTGACGGCAGTGGGTTTGGTTTGGTTTTTATCCCTATTCTAAATGAGGAGTGATGCCCAATAATCTTGCCTTCCTCCCAGTAATCCAGCTGGTTCTGATAAAGATGATTCAGGGGTCTTACTCTGAGGAACCCTGATTTACATAGTTCCTAGCACCTTGTTCACAAGCTGTATGTGGAAAATGAAATGTTCTGAATGGATTTTCTATGCACCTATCGTAGTTTACAAATAAATACATATACACACATATGTAGTATATATAAAATATGCTGTAGTAAAAGGTATATTGAACATAATATAATTTCCTTTTTTTCTTATTATTGAGGGTTATTATTGTGCATATCTAGTACTAGTACTTATTTGTAATAGTTTTGTATTTGGAACTATTGATGCCAGTAGGGCCACCGCCTTCCTTAGGCCTTCCTAGGCCTTCCTGAGGCCTTCCTGAGGCCTTCCTGGGCCGGCCTGCCTAGGCCTTCCTGGGCCGGCCTGCCTAGGCCTTCCTAGGCCTAGGATGCTTATACTCTCCCTGCCCCCTTTTATAGCTTTTATGAAAGATTGAAATGGGGTGTTAGTATATCTTGGAAATCCTAAGAAAACTGAAGAGAACATAAAAGAGATGCATTTGGCCAGAGCTAATTGAGGGGGAAATGGGAAAAAGAAGGCAGTGATGTGGTCATGAACATACTAGTGAAGAAACGTGATTACACAAGATATAATTGAGATTGATGTGAAAATATTAGGAGAAAAATACTAAAGTTTAGGTTTTTAACTAGTTATTTTATCGAAATTTAAGTACTTAACCAGTTATTTCATCACAGTAGGGAAAAAGTAAGTCAGGGAATGTGGCCTAGAAGATAGTGTTTCATTTTATTGTCTTTCTTGGCTGATAGCCTGCCTGCCTTCATCCCTTCTCACTGCTGTAGAGAATTTATAAAGCTAAGTAGAGGGTGAGATGCAGTGATGTGAAGTGCCTGATGAGAGGCCTTCTTATCCTGGATTCTAGAATTCCTTTTTATTTACCAATGATTGCTGTGATTTAGGGACACTCATTTTGAGACTTGAAGTCCTTTTTTCTCCCACAGGTAAAAAGGCTCTCGTTATTTTTTTTTAGCCGTCTATCTTTTTAAAATACTCCCAACAACAGATGAAGGGATGATACTCCCCAAAAAGTTATGAAATATATCATTAAGGTTCAGATGAACCACAGCTGAAATTAATTTGGAAAGCCCTCAGTTCTCATCTTTCAGTGTTTTAATTTTTTCAGTCGCACTTTATCTCTGCATTGACGGTTGTGTTCGTAAACTCCAAATCCCTGTCCTCGCTCAAGATAGACGATACCCCAGTAGATGATCCATCCCTCAAAGTACTAGTCGCCAACAACAGTGATACGCTTAAGCTGCTAAAAATGAGCAGCTGTCCTCATGTCTCTCCAGCAGGTATGTTGTGTGGGGGGGGGTTTTTTTTTTTTTTTTTTTTTTTTTTTTTTTTTTTTTGGCCAGATGATTATACATTTTAATAAAATTAAGAAAAACTATCATTAACCTTGAAAGTGAATTAATTTGATTGTTTCATCTAGGGCATAAAAGTATTTTTAATATCATAATACAGTAGCATAAATTCCATAGTATTCCTAATTTAGACATTTCCAACTTACATTCTGATTTTCTTATTTGGCAGTTGTCTTATTATCTAGTGCTGCTATAACAGAAATACCACAAGTGGATGCCTTTAGCAAACAAATTTATTCTCCCAGAGTTTAGGAGGCTAGAAGTCCAAATTCAGGGCACCAGCTCCAGGGAAAGCTTTCTGTCTCTCTGTTGCCAAAGGAGAAGGTACTTGTCATTAATCTTCCCTTGGTGTAGTAGCTTCTCAGCGCAGGGACCCCAGGTCCAAAGGATGCGCTTTGCTCCTGGCCCTTTTTTCTTGGTGGTATGAGGCCCCTCTTTTATATCTCAAGAGAGATTAAATCAACATACAACCTGTAGATTGAGTCCTCCCTCTTTAACATAACTGCTTCTAATCCTGCCTCATTAACATTATAGAGGTAGGATTTACAACATATAGGAAAATCATATCAGATCACAAAATGGTGGACAGCCACACAATAACTGGGATCATGTCCTAGCCAAGTTGACACACCTTTTTGGGGGACACAGTTCAGTCCATAACAGCAATCTGTGTTCAAGCATGTGCTAGAAAATGAATTAAAAAAATGAGAACGGGATAATATGAGATCTGCCTGAGGTGCTCCCTTAGATAAAATAAAATTTTCTCTAATTTTAGTTGAGCTAACAAGGATAGGTCTTCAAGCAGAGCACTTAATTGTTTTTTTCTCACTCTGTAGAGGGAGAAGAATTCTGCTTAAGTTGTTGCCTTGCGTCTTTTTCAAGATAATGCTTTTCCCAAGTTGAATTTGGAAGCAGAGAGCCCATCAAATGGGGAATAGCATTATAAAAGATCTTTCCAACTTCTCTAGTATAGAATTTTCTAAAAGTTACTATATTATTCAGTTTGAGAAAGTAAGTATAAGCCTGCATTCATATTAACTCTCCTGACTCATCCTCTTACTGTTGACCTCCCTCCCAGTCCTCTGTCTGTGTTATTTGGGAAACTTGTTCTTTAAGAGACAGTGTTAAATCCTGAATTTCTTTACAAAACATTTCCCACTTTCTTGCCATAACTAAAGCCTGACCTTCTCCCAAGGAAATGAATCCCTCTTGGATGAAGATTATCTGCTTACTCTACCACATCTCACGTAAGGAGGGACTTGGAGATAGGAATAGCTAGGTTAATTGTAGTGTTTTCCTACTCCACCTCTACCACTTCTAGACTATCATTGATGGTATCATAAAATAGAAGAAGAATGGGCTTTGGCAATTACATCCTATGTGACCATGATCATATTATACTATCTAATGTATTTGTTTGTTATGCGAGTAAGGTCCAAACTTCATAGTGTACAAGGTCCTTTGTATTCTGATTTCCACCTACCTCATTAGTCTTGTTATTTGCTACTTACGTGCAGTTTTTACTCAAGCCATATGGAACTTTGGTTGTACCTCTTTCTGTGGTCAGTACCCTATACCTTGCCCACCCTCTTTTGTTTTGTTTTTTTACTTTTTGACCTAGCTAACTCCAACCCAGTCTTCAGAATTCATCTAGGTGTTTACCTGTTCTGATCTCCACCCCTCTTTCTGGTTTAGGTATCCCACTCATGTGTTTCCATAGCACTCAACCTAACGTATAGCACTTACCACACTGTATGAGAACTTTTGGGTTTCTGGTTTCCTGTGAGACTGTGAGCTCATTGTTCTCTTTATCCTAGTATATCCCTTGTCATTTACTTTTATTTAATATACATCAATCTGAAAGTGTCGTATAAGCTTTCTTGGTGCTGCCTAGTGGGTTTTGGACTAGTTGTTCAGGAAGGAAAGAAGAAGGGAAAGAGCACATGTAATACTTTTTAATTGAAGAGTATAACCACAGAAGATTTTAAATTAAAAGTTAACACATTTGCATATTTTCTTTCTATCTGTATTTTGCATATATGCCATTTCTCTAAGTTGTAATTATGGCCTGTTTTCTGCTTTCTTTACTGAATGCTTTATCAGACTTTTTTCCCATTACATATAGTTGTTATAATTTATTACTGGCCCTCTAGGCACCATTTGACACTAGTGACTGCTCCGTCTTTGATATCTTATTCCAGATTTTCCTTCTTCCTCTCTGTTCCTATTCTGTATTCTTTGTTCTTTTTATCCCTTAAATGTTGGTGCTTCACTAAGTTCTCTACTGGGTTCTTTTTTGTTTTATTCTAAAATCTGGCAATTTCATCATCTTCTATGGCTTCAGTTACATTCTGTATGTTAATACCTGCTACTTTGGGTGTCTCTAACCCAGATCTTTCTCTGGAACTGTGTGTTGAACTGTCTGTGGCAAAGAGACTAACAAGTCTCACTGGTACTTCAGACTAGTGAACTCCCCTTCTTTCCGTTTCCAGATTTCTTTTTCCTTTTTATGGTCTCAATGAATGGCACCATTTGTTTAGTTGCCAGGGACCTGACAGACCTCCTTGACTCTGTTTACCTTTACTCTCTACATCCACTCAGTCACCAAGGTCTGGCAACTCTATCACCAAAATATGCCTTGGATCTCTACCTTCCATCTCCAGGCCACCATAAACTTGATGCGGTACCCTCCTGATTTCCTGACTTGCAGCCTTGCTCCTCTTGAATCTGATTTCCATGCTACAGTCACCGAAATAAAATATTTGTAAAAATACAAATCTGATTTTTTTTCTTCCATTCACCTTTAAAACTTCTCACTGTGGAAAAAGTCCACACTCCTTAACTTTGCCTTACAAAGTCCCATGTGATCTGGCCCTTGCCTGTATGTTGGGGTTCCACTTTTGATACTCTCTTCCTTACATACTGCATTCTAGCCATATTGAGCTGCTTCAGTTCTTGGAATGCTCATTTTCTCTTCTGTGTTTGGATATCCAGGAAATACTGTTCTCTTTCTTCTTCCGCTCTTCTTTGCCCTAGCTTGATCCTTCTTATTCTTTGAGCCTCACTCTGTTAGTTCTTCTGGGAAATTTTCTCTGATTCCGTTGTTAAGTGCTTCCAGAGCACCCTTGTGTAATTATCTGCCACCTCCTGTTAGGTTAAGGGTGTCTTGTTCCTGTTGTATCTTTACTGTCCTAGCAGCAGTGTTTGACATGTAAGGCACTTACTATCAACTGAACGAATGAACATTTAGCTACTTAGTATCCTATCTTGTTGAGAAACCAGTATTTGCATTATAGTTCTTTTAAGGTTGAACACTTGTTCCCAGTTTTTTGCTGTGATGAAAAATTTAATTTGGCATATGTAGCTGTTGGTTTCTATTCATTTCTTCCTTAGGACAGATTCTTTTTTTTTTTTTAAATTGTTGTAGTTTAAGTGAAAGTTTACAATTCATGTTAGTCTCTCATACAAAAATTTATACATAGTTATGTGACCTTAATTGCTCTCCCTGTACTGTGACAGCATACTCCTTTCCACCTGATTTCCCGTGTCCATTCAACCAGTTCCTAACCCTCTCTGCCTTCTTATCTCACCTCCAGACAGAAGCTGCCCGTTTAGTTTCATGTATCTACTTGAGCTAAGAAGCACACTTCATGAGTATCATTTTATGTCCACAGTCCAGTCCAGTCTTTGAAGAGTTGGCCTCAGGAATTGTTTTAGTTCTGGATTGACAGAGAGTCTGGGGGCCATGCTTTCCGGGGTTCCTCCAGTTTAAGACCATTAAGTCTAGTCTTTTTACTAGAATTTGAGTTCTGCATCCCACCCTTTCCCCGCTTCATCTGGGACACTCTGTTGTGTTCTCTGTCAGAGCGGTCATTGGTGGTAGCCAGGCATCATCCAGTTCTTCTGGTCTAAGGCTGATAAAGTCTCTGGTCTTTGTGGCCCTTTTTGTCTCTTGGGCTAATACTTTCCTTGTGTGTTTGGTATTCTTCATTCTCCTTTACTTGAGGTAGGTAGGAGCAATTGATGCATCTTAGATGGCTGCTTGGTAGCTTTTAAGACTCCAGATGCCACTCACCAATGTAGGATGCGGAACATTTTCTTAATAAACTTTGTTATGCCAGTTGACCTAGACGTCCCCTGAAAGCATGGCCCCCAGACTCCCGCCCCTGGTACTCTTAGGACAGATTCTTAAGAAGTACTAGGTCAGAGGATCTGAATCTTTTTTATGCTGTATTTTTTGCCATATTTTTTTTCCCAAATGACCAATATGAATTTATAATAACCACCAACAGTAGATTTTCCTACCATTTTTTTAACAGCTTTATTGAGATACAACTCACATACCATACAGTTCACCCATTTAAAGTGTAGTTTATTGACTTTTAATACATTAACAGAGTTCATCCATCACCACGATCAACTTTAGAACATTTTCATTATCCCCAAAAGAAATCCTGTACCCCTTACCTGTCACCCCTCCAGTCCCCATCCCTCTTCCCACCCCAGCTCTCGGCAACCATTAATCTACTCCCTGTCTCTATAGATTTGCCTGTTCTGGATGTTTCATATAAATGGAATCATACCACGTGTGGTCCTTTGTGACTGGCTTCTTTCACTTAGCATGGTCTTTTCAAGGTTCATCCACGTTTTATTATGTATCAGTACTTTATTCTTTTTTGTGGATGAATAATATTCCATTGTATGGATAATACCACATTTATCCATCATGTAATGGACATTTGCGTTGTTTCCACTTTTTGGCTGTTATGAATAATGCTGCTATGAACATTCATGTACAAGTTTTTGGGTGGACATAATGGTTTCATTCCTCTTGGATATATACCTAGGAGTGGAATTTTGGACCATATGGTAATTATATTTAACCATTTGAGGAACTGCCAGACTATTCTCCAAATTGGCCGTACCATTGTATATTTCCACTGGCAGTGTATGAGGGTTCCGATTTCTCCATATCCTTGGCAATTCTTGTTATCTGTGTTTTTGGTTATTAACTGTCCTAGGGGGTATGAAGTGGTATCCCATGGTTTTGATTTGCATTTCCTTGACAACTAATGATGCTGAACGTATCTTTATAGGCTTATTGGCCAATTGTACATCTTCTTCGGAGAAATTTCTATTCAGGTCCTTTGCTCATTTTTAATTGGTTTATTTGCCTTTTTATTATTGAGTTGTAATAGTTAGCCAGTTTTATTATATCTTTGTCACTATGTTGTGTTAAATATTTAAAACACTTGTAACTATATATTAGCTTTGTATTACTGTGTAACTAGTTACAACAAATACAGCAGCTTAAACTAACATCCATTTATTAAAAACTTCAATATCTCCACAGTTCTGTAGACAGAACTATAGATCAGTAGGCATGGCTAAGCTGGCTTCTCTGCCTAGGGTTTTAAAGGCCAAAATCAAGATGTCAGCCAAGCTGAGCTCTCATCTGGAGGCACCAGGGAATACTCCGCTTCTAGGTTCATTCAGGTTGTTGGCCAAATTAGTTCTTGGGGTTGTAAGACTGACATCCTTATTTCCTTGCTGGCTGTCAGCCTGGGCCACTCTCTGCTCCTAGAGACTGCCTACATTCCTTCTTATGTGGCCCCCTCCATCTTCAAGCCAGCAGTGGCATGTTGAATCCCTCTTGTGCTTTGAATCTCTCAGACTTCCTCTTCTGCAACTAGCCAAAGAAACCTCTATTTTTAAATGGGCTCATATGATTAGGTCTACCAAGGTAATCTCCCTGTCTTAAGGCCAGCGGTGCCATAAGAATGATACCATATTCACAAGTTTCCGGAATCTTGAGGGTCATTTTTTAGAACTATGCCTACCACAATTACTTTAGTAGTTACTAAATGATATTTCAAAGTTGCTTTTATTTGCAATTTGATTACCGTTTCCCATGTCTGTTTCCTTTTTATATTAGGCGTTTTGAGATCGCAGAGACCTGAGATATGCTCAGGTTATTTTGGGTGGTGAAGGTTTATTTTTAAAGTCCACACATGCCTTGTGAAGAACAGAAACTTTGTATGGCTGAATAGGGAAGCATAAGTGTCCATTACAAGAGACTGTTATATTTGTGATTTAGTTTCTCTCTTCTCTGACTCTGTTGCCTGTCTTCTCTCTCTACTGCTTATCCGGGGCCTCTGTCTTGTCACATGTTTATAAGCAATAGCTAATTGCATGAACTTAATCACTTAGCCTGTGTTTGAATTTCAGCTTTGCTACCTTTAGCTAGCTGTCTCAACTTCAAAATAGAAATTATACCTACTTTCCTGAATTATTTTTGAATATTTGTAGAAAAACATATCCAGTACCTGACATACCGTAATTGTACAATAAATGTTGTTGTGTGCTGTTGAGTCGATTCTGACTCATAGTTGAGCCCGTGTGGCAAAGTAGAACTGCCCCATAGAGTTTTCTAGGCTGTAATCTTTATGGGAATAGATCATCAAGTCTTTTTCTCCTGTGGAGCTGCTGGTGGGTTCAAACCACCAACTTTTCTGATAGCAGCCAAGTGCTTAACCATTTCTCCACCTTGTACAATAAATAGTAGATAATAATATGTGTCTCTGTTGTTCCTATCTCTGCTTTTAAATACCACAAGAAAGAAATGGATTGAGTGGGTCATTTATCAGGTAGTAAAGGGTGTCTTTTGGGGCAGAGTTCTTATACTAGGCCACTTCAGAGATCAGTGACCTTTGATGAAATCAGTTACTGCTAGATATCATGCAGCTATGAAGCATGGTACTCTAAGTATAGAGAACCATTTAAGGAGTTGTTTTCTGGGGGTAGCTTCAAAGTCATAATGTGGATTGGGTGGTTATCTTTGAGTCACTGATCTAATGGCATCGTAATTTTTTGTATAAATTTGATAGGCCTATTATATACTGTTAGCCGTCAGAATCTTTGTTGCTCATTTGATGAAAATCTTTTTGTCTTTTTATTTTACTAATGTTTTATTTAGTTATATAATTCTTAGTTTTATGTGGTTATGCTTTATCCTATTTCCTTTATTAGGATTAGGTTTGGATTTCAAAAAATGTCCTTTGACCTCTGTTGCAGTCATCAGGTAATTTTTCTTGCTTAACCTGGAAGTTTAGTGTTAGCAGTCATTTTTGTAAGATATGACACTGTCCTTGCATTACTAGGATAAACTTTAGCCATGGTTATTAGACATAGTTATTTATTAGTAATTGATTTTTCTGTGTTGGTAAGTAATCGATGTTTTTAAGGTATTGAGTTAGAATTGGTTTCCTGACTAAAACTATAATACATTTTTAAAGTGTTTGTGATTTGCCTTTTGTTAATACAACTGTGCAACTAAATTTAAATTGTGTAATTTTATGGTAAGGAAAATATGGCAAAATTTTACTGTGGGACATGTATTTGAGTTTTTGAACAAATGATGAACTTTTACAAAAACTTTTAAATAATTTTTTTTTTCTTCTTCCAAGGTATCCTCTGTGTGGCTGATCAGTGTCATGGCTTACGCGAACTGGCCCTAAACTACCACTTACTGAGTGATGAGTTGCTACTTGCTTTGTCTTCTGAAAAACACGTTCGTTTAGAACATTTGCGCATTGATGTAGTCAGTGAGAATCCTGGACAGACACACTTCCATACTATTCAGAAGAGCAGCTGGGATGCTTTCATCAGACATTCACCCAAAGTGAACTTAGTGATGTATTTTTTTTTATATGAAGAGGAATTTGACCCATTCTTTCGTTATGAAACACCTGCCACTCATCTTTACTTTGGGAGATCAGTAAGCAAAGATGTGCTTGGCCGTGTGGGAATGACGTGCCCTAGACTAGTTGAACTAGTAGTGTGTGCTAATGGATTACGACCACTTGATGAAGAATTAATTCGCATTGCAGAACGTTGCAAAAATTTATCAGCTATTGGACTAGGGGAATGTGAAGTCTCATGCAGTGCCTTTGTTGAGTTTGTGAAGATGTGTGGTGGCCGTCTGTCTCAATTATCTATTATGGAAGAAGTATTAATTCCTGACCAAAAGTACAGTTTGGAGCAGATTCATTGGGAAGTATCCAAGTATCTTGGTAGGGTATGGTTTCCAGACATGATGCCCACTTGGTAAAGACCACATGATGTAAGGCATGATGAACAGCACCTTAACTTTAAGCATCTTGTATTATAATGTAAGTTTAATTACTGTAGTTCTGATGTAATTGTTTTGTGGCACAGAAATTTGAAATTTGCAGTGAGTATATATGGATTGTTAATGGTTTTGGTCAGGAAAATCTATGTTTTCTTTAGCCTAATAGCAATCAAGTTTCAGAAAATCAAAAAGTGTTCAGGTGTGAAAATAATGATAAAAAGATTAAGCATTGTGAAGTCTGAAGGAAACAAAACCTATATATTAAAATATCCAAGAAGTGAGTATGAATAGGTTTTCCAAAATGTTGTGTTCTCTATGCATTTTTTAAAATGTAAACTTGACATTTTAGGGTCTTCAGTTATACATACACCTGTTATAAGGTGTTTAATATAGCTCAGGAAAGTGAGCATTTTGGGAGAAAAATGTAAGATAATTGTAGCTAATGAAAAACAATTGGTTGAATGTTCTCAAATGTTACAAAACTGTTTAAGGAAAAAGAGGTATATATAAGTAATTGAACACAGAGAAAACTGATAAATGTCATGCAGTGGTTATTATATGAAGATAGATACAGAGCCAAGATCAAATTAAACACACTAGAAGGGGGGAAGTTTAGCTTTGTATAAACCTTTAAGTTTGCTCTGTAATCTTCTAAATCATATAAATTCTTTTCTGTGATATATCACCATGTATGTGGCACTTAAGGCATTTGTATTTAAAGTAAGGAATGCTTTTTCACTCTCCTTGATTTTATCTTTGTTTAAACTATGCTTTGAAGTCATTACACAACAATCAAAATGAAAAGCTTATCTGTTTTAAAAAAGCCAAATTGAAATAAATGTTTTACAAATTGTTTCTATGAAAGAATATTAGTCTCCAGTGAATTTTAGTGATGGCTCATTAGAATTTTTATCATAAAAGGAGCATCAATGTATAGTTCACCATAAACAACAGTAAATTTAAAAGATGTTTAAATTCATAAACATTTTTGAGTAAATATTGCTCAGTGGACTGGAAAATTTTTAATAGAAAAATGTCTTAAATTCAGTGATTAATTTGGTTAAACTGTTATTTAAGTTAGTAGCATTTTATATTTCATATGAATAAAAGATAACCCATGCATTGTAGAATCTGAGTCTGTAAAAATACTGAGTTTGGGGCTACACTTAGTTTTTTCAGGTATTATTATAAGCTTTGATTCTGGGTAGTGCAAGTAGATACTAAATTACCCTCCCAAGGGAAATTAGAAGTGATTTATCCCCAGTGGAATATATTAATGCTTGAAACAGCTCTCTTCAGTAGTGTAACTTTTAGGAAGCATCTTGGCAGTTACGGAAGCTAACAGTCTTACCGATCTATCCTAGAGATCCTATCCTGTAGTTATATGTAAATGAAAATGAAAAAAAAAAAAAAGCTGATCCAGACTTGAAAATTAAAAGCAATTATTGTAATATTTTCCTCTTAGTAAACAGTAAAAAGCTTTGATTGTACAAGAAATACCTGTTAGTGGATAAGATTTTTTTTTTTTTTCTTGAACAACTTTGGAAAATGGATTTGTCAATAAGCAGTTCTACTAACCAAAGCTTTATCTGGAAATTTACTTTTTGTACAAATTGAATTGTATAATGTTTGGAATACTTTTAAGGCACTTTATAAGCAAAATGCATAGTACTTGTTTATACTGTAAAGTATCTGTTAAATGCCTTTATCAATTTGAGAATAAAGATAGTTACTAATGCTGTTGTTTTATAGTTTTTAAAAGCCACACAAACATATATACTTACCTGACTTTAAAACTAGTTAAGCTTACATTATGGTTTGGTTTTAGATCCATGGAAAATGTTTATTAAAGAATATATATGGTAGACCGGTGTTTTTGAAGATAAATAGGTATCTGTTCTTGAAATCATTCTGATTGATGCTGAAGGTGATACGAAATTAAAAATTTACCAAAAATTTTAAATTTTATAATGAGAATTGTTCAAGGAATAGGTTCTTTCTGCATTCAGAATAAGAACTTACAAAACACACTATTTAGACATAGAATTATCAACTTTGAAGGGTCCTGAAGCCCAGCTAGCCTTTTTAGGGAGAAGTATCTATGTAAATCTGTGTATTAGAAGAATTTCTAAAGTAGCAAAACTATTTTCATCTAATTTAACTGCTTCCAAAAATTTAACTTCATTTTACTTTGGTAACTGGTCTACTTTAACAATATTATCAGTAAAAAAACATGCTTATTTTAAGATTAAGTCAATTCACTGCATTCTAGAAGAATTTTTTGTATTTATGGAAAAGCTCAGGATAGAGAGGGAGGAGTTGGTGTGAAGAAGGCTCAGACCTAAACTAAGTCCTGTAAGAGGCTATAGATAATCTCTACCTGCAAGGCTCTGTGCACAAACTCTGCCCCAGTTTATCTGTGGGGCTGGTTTTCATGCTACCAAGCAGCCAGGACAATCCCACCTGCTTGTTAACACCCAACTTACCTTTAAAAGGACACAAAGCTTTGTGAACTAAGAGCTATCAGACCAGTAAAAATGTAAATGAGTAGTAACCTATCATCTTGTTTTAAATAAGGGAGAGAATGTATCAAGGAAAGTTTGAGGAGCAAGGCACTTACTTGGACAATAAAGGGAAAAGTATGAGGAAGATGCTGGAGACAGACTTTGGTCAGCCCCATTTACCTGTGGCTGTGAATAGGGAACAGCATGTGTGCAGTTTTGGAACATTGCTCTTTGTATATTCTGACAGTTTATTAAAAAAAAAAAAATCATCTTGAACTACAGTCACTGAGAATTCATTAAGTGCCACCAGAGTAGACTGTAAAACTGGATAAAACTTCCGAAGACTTCTGATTATTATTGTCTTTTCCTGATTTTTAAGAAGGAGCCAATATTGATGGAGGATTCCAAAAATTTTAAACTTAGTAATTTTTACCTTTTGACTGATTTCCTGTACCTGCAACAATCCATTAGAAAACACTTTATGGGTATACTTACCCAATACTGGGCCAAAATTAGTAAGTAAGACTATCGTCATTCTAAAGTCCTAATTCAAATTTAAAATGGTTTATTTTAGAAACAGTTAAGGAAATTTTATACATTTATAACAGCAAAATAAAAATCACATTTAAGTTATACAGTAGTTCAAAGGGCAGCAAAATTTAATACACAAATTCCTGCCTGACCATGTTTTAGTTCAACTACCATTTTGAAAGCACGTTCTTGAATCATCTCTACTCGAAAGCCCTACTTCCTCTTGTAAGTACAGTAGACAGGTTTGATAAATTCTTAAGAACTCCCTTGTATGAATGCTATGCTCTCTCTGCTGTGATCACCTCGGTCTATGGTACTTTCACATAACTTCATTAATACTGTGATGAAAAATCCTGAACACCTCTTTAATATATTAGAATCTTGCTTTAAAACTCAAGTTCCACGTGCAGATGCGCTCATTTAGTCTTTGCTGTGGGACTAAGTTTTGTGATTTGCAGTCAATCAACCTGGCACAAGAGCCTTTGCTTGTCACTTTGCAGTTCTGGAAATGCAACTGCCCAGTGCAATTTTCCTAACAATCCTGTGGAAGTTGGCATTACCCTATTTTAGCCACTAGATGGTGGTAATGCAAAAATTAAGTTTTTCTTGTGCTTTATTCTGAGGACTGAGTCCTGGTGGTGCAGTGGTTAAGAGCTCAGGCTGCTAACCAAAAGGTCAGCAATTTGAATCCACCAGCTGCTCCTTGGAAACCCTATGGGGTGGTTCTACTCCATCCTATAGGGTGGTTCTACTCCATCCTATAGGGTCACTGCGAGTTGGAATCAACTCGACGGCAACGGGTTTGGTTTGCTTTATTCTGAGGACAACTAGCAGGTTAGAGGCAAGATTAACCAGGAATGGTTAGGTACTATTAACATGAGGAGACACGCTAAATGGGAGGCTGTGAAAGTAAGTTCTCTCTTTGTATCTGAGGAAGACTACCTCTGAATGGTACAGTGCAGTGCTTCTCAAGCTGTTTGTGGTAAAGGACTGGGTTTTTATTTTTAATCTGTTGTGGGCCTACAATTTTGAAAAAGACAATAAAAATGAAATCTTAGAAAAAATTTAAAAAGACATTCAAAATACAAATCCCATTTTTTTTTTTTTTAAATTAAACTCGAGACACAAAATTACTCTGTCAAATTCCTTTAAAACAGTACTTTATGTCCTTCACAGACCAGTAACATTCGGTGAATGGGCACTGGTCTGTGGCCACACTTTGAGTAGCATGGGAAAACTCATGTAGGGCATCCAATTCAGTCAGGAGAACTGAATATGATTCCATTCCTACAAGCTGGGTAACCCTGGAAAAGCCACTTAACCTTTCTAAACCTCACTTTACTCATTTAGATCAGGTAAAATCTGTTTAGGCTTTTAATGAGAATTCAATGAAAATGTACAAACTTCATAGGAAGCACTCAAATGTTAGTTGAAAACTAAATAATTGGAACAGTTACATATTAAGCATGTATTGTTTTCTGATGTCTGCTTCATCGTCTTATTGACTGGTGGTTTGTCCATGAATAGAAAGAATGTGCTCAATTGATCATCAAATGCTTAAAGGGCCTTGAAAGCTTGTTTGATGGCCACAATGGAAGCACAGCTCCTTGACAAAAACCAGTCCTTTCTCTGGGAAGCTCACCCTCTTCCACTGAGCGGACAGCTTTAATAGGAGGCTGGAGAACTACAAAAGCAGTGAGGTACCTGTTTACACAGACAAGCCTGCCGCCAGATCACTTTCATACCACAAATGTTGGAAGAACCAGTGAAGCATTATGCTATCAGGTCAAAGTCTAGGTGATTATTATGAAACCCAGGAGAGGCTGGCACAAACTACATTAAGCAACACCAAGGATGATAATGTGTTCTTTGATTAATTATTGTAGCTACCATTTACTGAGACCTTACAATGCCAAACATGCATTAATCTTTACAGCAATCCTGAGAGATGAATCATTTTAGAGATAACGAAACGAAGGTTCAGCGATGTTAAGTTGCTTACATTACAAAATGCCAGTTACTGGCTAGTTCCAAAAGGCCAGCCAGAAATCAAACCCCCTAGATTTGTTCTCTTTAACACTGTATTTACCACATCTTGGAAGCAAAACCACTCCAGCTATGGTGTCCAAGTAAGTCTTTAAGGTTAAGTGAATGGAGCTCAATCAGACTATTAGACCTGATTCCAAAAGCTATAAAAGATATAAAGTCAATCTAAACTACCAAAATATACTTAAAGGAAACAGTTTAACTACCATACCAGAAAAAATAGCTCCCACCATGAAGCTGTCACTGAAGATATTTTTTAAATATTGGTACGCCATATCCACAGTTTACAAATATTGGCTCCAAAGATCCTATACATCTGATACGAACCATAATTCTCCACATTAACATAGGCTTGGGAATGGAAATCAAGATCACCGAACCGGCTTACTTTAGCCAATATAATCAGTGAGATCTTCAACATTGGTTCCAAGTTCTGAAATGTTAACATGCAGCAAGTCTGCTGACATGCATGTTACCCTTCTGCCCCAAGGAAGAAAGGCCTACGAAATCCGTAAATACACAATCACTTCCTGGAAAATCAAGATGCTGGTGGCTGGAGATAGAATCAAAAAAGATAGAATCAAGGTTTTATAAACCAGAGAGTGTTCTGTTTCTGTTAGGTAGAGGGATTTCTTCATATGTTATTTTAATAAAAGGGAATTTCATAGGTAAAAACCAATATTCAAAATTATAAAACAAATAGAATTGTCTGTGTATAATCACTGTATCAAAAATTTGCAAAAGACTTACTAGAAATTCTTTAGTTGATAAATGTGGTTTGAAGGGGTAATAAAATCTTTTTATGGCTAAAGCAAGAGTCTTGTTTCCTACTGGCCCAAAAATAGATGTTTCATTTCCCAAATAAGTAGGTTCTCCACTGTAAAGAAATATTCTTGTATAGTTGGTTTCTATCTTCTTAAACTCTGCTCCAAGTTCGGCCAACTTCTTGTATGTCCTCAACACAAATTTGGAACAGTCGTAGGATTCAAACCATGTCTCTGCCCCTTTTTCTGGGCTGGCTTGGACAGTCCATGTCTCATAATAAATACCTGTCTCATTGTCCTGTTTTACCCACTTTGCCATTTTGTTAAACATGTTTCCTAGGGGAAAAAAAAATTTGTTAAACATGTTTCCTAGAAAAAAACATTACCTATGTGAATATCAATGTTAATCATGTAAGCTTTAAGTGTTCTAACCTAATTAAGGAACATGAATAAACAATAGTTTGTTTTTCTTTTAAATTTCTAAAACTTCATCCCACAATAGGAGTCCAAACTCAGCTAATTTTTATTCCGGTATTTCTGAATTATAAACATTAGATATAATAGATGTAGAAAGAGAAGTCTTACATACTAATTCTATACAGTCATGCGTCGCATAATGCCTGTTTGGGTGATGTCTGATGCATATACATCAGTGGTCCCACATAAGGTTATAATAAGAGCTCGGAAATCCCAATGGGAGAACAGGACTTAGCAGATGTACTTTGGTAAGGAAATCTGATCTGTTTCTCACTAGCTCTCTGGATTCCACGTCCACCCCGGCCCTGGGGCAGCAGAGGAAGGGGGTTCCAGCACCCATCCGTGGCTGCCTGTCCCACCTGCCTCAGGCAGGGACCGCACAGATGCCACTGGAGCCGCTGACGGGTGCCCTGCCAAAACTGCTGCCCCACTCAGCCCAGGTGCCCTGCGTGTGATGCCCAGGCCTGAAGCTGGGGCTCTTCCCACAGTGGCAGCCGCCTAACAGTCTGGGCTGTGGCTGGAGGAGGAACAGGAAAGGCATGGGAGGAAGGAGGGGGGGGAGACGGAGGTGGAGGTGGAGGTGGAGCAAGTGGGGCTGTAAGAGTTTAAAGCCCATGGCGAAGGTGGGAGGGTGGAGGCAGGCAGGGAGGAAGGAATGGAAAGGAGCCAGCGACTGGAGCCGCGGGCGGGGGTTGGGGGGGACTGGGTGCAACTGTCAGAGACCACGGCAACCACGTAGGACCAGTGGGGGTGGAACCAAAGTTTTCATGCAGTCCCTCAGCATGGCAGCATGGGTCCTGGGCTTGCCCGGGGACCATCCTGTGCACCTCTCTCCTGTATACAATATGGTGTTCACACAACATCCGAATCACATAATGTCCTCATAGAATGTATTGTGAACATTAAGCGAAGCATACCTGTATCATTTAAGCTATTAGTAAAAAGCAAAATTACACAAATGCTGAAGCCCTCTTTCTCTACCCCACACAGCAAACTTCGAAATCAGAGGTAGAAAAGAAAGGAAAGAATTATGGAAGAGGAAAAAGTGAATGGGGCAAAGATAATTTAAGAGAAACTGGTGAGGAGGGAATGATGTGGAGCTTTTCTGTTGCAAAGAAAGGTATGCATACGTCTGAATGGCTGCCTACAATCAATAAAAGAGGCAACACCATAACCCATTCACCTTTATTACTTCCCTTTTCTCTCTGTACTGCAGCTGGTGGAATTCTGCTTACAACATCTCCACCTACCACACAAATTCTCTAATGAATTAACTGAACTGGAAATATTTTTGGCCACGGTCAGATTCCAGGATGTCTAATCCTAACCTCCTGCTGCCTTGACCAGACCAGAAGAAACTCCCCGAACGTTTAGGAAAACACCGTACTCTGCACAGTTACAACTTCCATCTGGGCATTTATAACATCTAATAGGGTCGGCCCCAATATTTCACGTTGTCACCGTGTGTGAACCTTTTCTGGTTACTCCGACTTGAGTCCTGTGGTGTAATGGATTGCTTTTGTGTAGCCTTTCTTGCCACGGTCTTATAACTCCCATCCAGGTGATTGTGCGGGACTGTGTGGTAGGGTAATTGTGGTCCACTAAAGGGATTGGTCACTTTTGCCATCTTGCTGGGCCTGAAATGAGCCACACCACAGGCAGGAAAGAGAAGAGCCCACTACCACCAAGTAAGGAGAGACTGGCAGGAGATGGTGCAGTGGGCTTCCTAGCCCACAGAGCAAGAAAGCTGAATGTCTTTGGGCAGAGACTGAGGGCCAGGGAGAGGTGTGCCTGCAAGCATGGCTGGGAAGAGGCTATCCTGATGGAAAAACTGCATCCTTGAGTGTTCCTGAGCCTGAATTTAACCTTTATTTCCCTAATAAAGCCCGTCATTGTGAGTATGGTCTGTGACTCCTGTGTGGCCACTGCAATGAATTATCAGAGCCAGCAGAGAAGCAAGAGAGTGCTGTGGGAGGGACAGTTGGTGTCAAAGTTGGTGAAGATGGCAGAGAGAGCAATCAGCCTCAGGCTGTCGATCTTAAGTCTCCTTTCGCCTCACGAAGTTAGAGGAGGTCAGACACCACCTCCATGCCGTTTTTTACAAGTCCATAAAACCAATACTACAGTTCCTGTACAATGAATAAAACAGCTGTCTTTACCAATTTTATTAATTAAAATTGTAGAATAACATAAATCCTGTTTTCTTAGAATTAGGAGTACTGTATTTTTAGTACTCTTCAACTTTAAAGCCACTGCTGTATTTGAGAGAGAAGAATGCTTCAAAGCACTATTTTGTAACATTAAGAAAGGTCAGTGAACAGGATTAATCACAAGGCAGATGGATGACTTAAAAGATTTAAGTACTGGCGTATTACAAACCATTTTACAGGAAATACTGATCACTGTCCATGCGATCACTGAACACAGATATATGTCAGAAGAAAGAATTTTCACATAATTAGGTAGGTAGAAATGGAGAAAGCAGAGATGTATACCAGCCTTGAACGAAACGAAGACTAGCTATTTATTTTACCGAGCATTGTCAAAGAGAGATGGGCTTTTATACTGTAGGGATGGTTTGGGATATATCAATTAGAAGAGGAAAAATTAGAAAATAGCATCGTCTATTCTGTTAAATGATCTCCAGATTACATTTAAAAGACCTTAGTTCTAGTCCTGGTTGCAATACGTCTGGCTCTGTGACCTTAAGAAACAAGTAAGTCATTTACCGGGCTAAGCCTCAATTCCTCATTTGTAAAAGGAATACTGTGAGTTAACATACTCAAATGCTTTGTAAAGAGCGGGAAGCACTCAAGTCCTAAGTTCTGTGATTCACTGAAAAATTCTTATCACAAACAGTACTTTCATTTCAAGACGTTTCCACCTTTTGGGGGGAACATCAGCTTGTAACATAGAGCTCTATAAATCACATGGGCAAGCTCCTGATGTCTAAAATGCCACGGTGGTATCTCCATTCTACAAATGAGGTAACTGGGGGCCAACAAGGTAAAATGATGATTTGCCTAAGGTCACACAAGTTACTGATAAAAGTTCTGGCTGAATTCCTTTCATGGTTAGTCAACAATGCAACAACTGTAACAAAATTCTGTTTTAGCAAACAGAAAATCTCAGACATAAAATTTTTTAACTGTTCAAGGGGCCTCAAATACACGTTTTGGGAGGTAACGTAGCGAAGTAGTTAAGAGAATGACCTATGGGCTTAACTGCTAGGGTTTGCATCCCACTTACTTAGCTGTCCCTCAGTTTCCCCATCTATAAAATGGGGAAAATAAAAGTAACTATCTCAGAAGGCTGCTGTGATGATAAATGATGTAATATACGTAAAACACTTAGAACAGTGCCAGGACCAGGGTAAGTCCAAACGAATGATGGCTATTATTATTTCTCTACATACAGTTTATCATTACCAAAACTTTTTTTCAGACACAGTTTAACATGTTCTTTAATAATTTTTTTTTCAGGCATTTTGTGGATCTCGCCCCATTATTTTATTTAGAAAGTCCAATTTAATTGCACAAAGTGTTTCATCATTTTATTCATTTTTTCACCATGGTCACTGATCGGAAATAAAACTACTCACTTCCTGTAGTCAGAGGTGAAATGTTGCATGAGTAACAGTCTGGGTCAAAGGTTGGTGGTTTTGGAAATATGCTTAACAAATGACCTCTAAAAAGTTGGACATTACTGAAATGCCTCAATGAAAGAAATACCTTTCATTTGGGTATTGACACAATCATCAAATACTGCCCTATTTTTGAAACTTACCTGACATGGTTGCTACCAGAACCAATGTCCCATTTTCCTTCCAGTGGATATCATCAATTCCTTCAAAAAAGCAGGCAGCCCCTTGATTACACCAGAAAGGGGCATTCATCTCAGGTCGGAGGTGGGGAAATGTGCAGTTTCCAAGTTGGAAAAGTTCATACCATTCCATTGTGTAGTTTTTGCCAGTTAACGTACTCCTGAATCCAATAGCATCATGCATAATTTTCTATGTAAAGATAATAAATGTATAAAAGCATGTATAAAATAACCACTGATCCAGGCAAACAGATGGGAGAAAATGTGGTCTACCCCAAATGCATATGCAGTAGAACACTGCCCAGCTGTTCCTCTTCCATGGTACTACACTCTAGGGCGCCTCACACTCCAGGCCCCCATCCACTCCGAGCTTAGTGACTGCAGCTCATCTCAGATAGGAAGGACATATGCTACATGCATACACACACATCATTTACCTACAGCTGAGAAAAAGTCCCAGAAGCCTCCATGCCACAGTCTCAGGAAGAAACTCTATATAACTCATGGAGTCATGAGAAGTTGCATGGTGAGCCAATCTAGGAAAAGTATGCACAATAAAGCCTGAAAATTAAGAAGTGCTTCCTGCCTCCCCTGCCCCTTGCCTCCTCCTTTCTGATTTCCAGGAGTTGGGTTCAGTTTCAGAATATTGTTAGCTGCAGTAGAGTTGGACCCTGACTCATGAAGACCCCATGTGTAACAGAGTAGAACCGCTCCATAGGGCTTCTTGGCTGTAATCTTTATGGAAGCAGTTCACCAGGGCTTTCTTCGTGGAGCTGCTGGGTGGGTCTGAACTGCCAACCTTTAGGTTAGCAGCTGACTGAAAATAGCTTGCACAATCCAGGTTCCTTTTCAGAATATTAAAAAATATTAAAGCCACTGCATTTGTTCCCATATTACAAAATCTGATGATAATTACTTTTGACTACTCATTTTAAATATGCCAGGAGGAACACCAATAAACATGATCTAAAATCAGCCATTTTAACAGTGTTTATTCCCTCATATCAATTTCATTAACCAAATCATTTAATTAACCAAAGCCACAAGATCAAGATGCAGCCTTACCATGTGACCCAGGAGGTCTCCATATTTAAATTCCCACACTGGGGCTTGTAATCGAAAGACTTCAATGACATCATCACCCTTCATAGCTGGGATAGAAGAGCCAGTTGGACAGAAAGTATATTTAGCTTGACAATAAGGATCTGGTTCTGGACGGAAGGAAAAGCGCCTAATAAAAAAAAAGAAACTATCAACTTAGATTCTGACAGGAATTTTGTTCTTCTCACACATTTTAGATTTTAACTTCACTGTCAGTAAACCTTGTTTTTTTTTGGATTGACACAGTGGCTGCAACAATGGGCTCAAACACAGCAATGATTGTGAGGATGATGCACGACCAGGCTGTGTTTCGTTCGGTTGTACATAGGGTCCCTATGAGTCAGAATGACTCAATGGCACCTAACAACAACAACGTTTTTAAGGAAAACATTCAAAGTATATACCTTATTGTGCAAATACAAATATACATTTAATTTCTTATCCTGTGAACAGACTCCAACTATGTCTTTAATAATCAAACCAAACCCACTGCCATTGAGTTGATTCTGACTCATGGCGACCTCATATGTTACAAAGTAGAACTGCTCCATAGGGTTTTCTTGGCTATAATCTTTACAGAAGATCACCAGGCCTTTCTTCTGTGGCGCTGATGGGTGGGTTGGAACTGCTGACCTTTGGTTTAGTAGTTGAATGCAAACTGTTTGCACCACCCAGGGACCTTCAAGTCTTTAATAGCAAATGACAAACAAAAAACACTTTGATAAATGCCTGCTTCCCTGTTCCCTGCTCTCGTTGCGAGAATTTTGAAGGCAGGACCATGTCCTAAAATGTTCCTAGATCCGGATCCTATCATAGTAGACACACAAATGTTTACTGATAAGTGACTATTTTTCAAATGAGATTTAATTTTCCTGAGCTAGTGAGTAGCCATCTAAGATGCATCAATTGGTCCCAGTTCACCTGGAGTAAAGGAGAACAAAGAACACCATGGACACAAGGAAAGTATTAGCCCAAGAGACAGAAAGAGCCACACAAACCAGAGACTTCCTGAGCCTCAGATCACAAGAACTAGTGGGTGCCCAGCTACCACAATGACTGCTCTGACAGAGAACTTAACAGAGAGTCCCTGACAGAGCAGGAGAAAAGTGGGGTGCAGAACTCAAATTCTAGTGAAAAGACCAGACTTAATGATTTGACTGAGACTGGAGGGACCCTGGAAGACATGGCTCCCAGATTCTCCATTAGCCAAAAGCTAAAACCATTCCCGAGGCCAAATCTTCAGACAATGATTAGACTGGACTACAGGACATAAAATGATACTTGTGAAGAGGATGCTTCTTAGCTCAAGCAGATACAGAGACTAAATGGGCAGCTCCTGTCCAGAGGTGAGATGGGAAGGCAGAGAGGGTCAGGAGCTAGATGAATGGACATGGGAAATCCGGGGTAGAAAGAAAGTGTGCTGTCACAGTATAGGGAAGGCAAGCAGGATCACAAAACAGTGTATATATAAATTTTTGTATGAGAGACCAACTTAAATTGTAAACTTAAAGCACAATAATAATAAAAAAAAGAATAAGAAAAAAAACGAGATTGAATTTTCCAAACAATTTTTACATTAAAAAGAATGTACTGAAATATAATGATGATTAAATAGAATATATTTTATATTTTCTAAAGAATTAAACAACACTCTTTAATCCATATTTACTGAGGATCTACTATGTGTAACACACTTTACTAGGAAGACAGGAACAAAAATTAAATTCTCTTCACAGAGTTTGGGATGAGGGTAGGGAAGAGATTAAACAAATAACTAGGGTACAGTATTTTAAGTGCTAAGTATGGTGCAGTATGGTAAATGCTAAGGAGCCCTAGTGGCGCAGTGGTTAAGCACTCAGCTGCTAACCAAAAGGTCGGCAGTCTGAACTCACCAGCCACTCTGGGGGAGACAGATGTGGCAGTCTTCTCCTATAAAGATTACAGCCTTGGAAACCCTATGGGACAGTTCTACCCTGTGCTATAGGGTCGCTATGAGTCAGAACAGACTCGACAGCAACGGAATGGGTGGTAAGTGCTAAACTAAACGGAATGTACAAAGTCCTTTGTGGGCACAAAGGAAGGAGCTATCATTTTAGCCTGGTGGGAGACGGTGGGTAAGGAAGGAGATGAAGACCTGGACTAGGTTTTTAAAGTACTTAGGAAGGAGGTTAGGACAGAAAAGGAGAGAAAACACCAAGTATTACAAGCAGGATGAGTTGGTCACAAGCATCGCACACTGGAAGAGTCTCAAGTAGGCACAAAAGACCAGAATTCTGGCTTCAAGGCAGAGGTGGTAAGAGAAGAGGCAAGTAGGGACCTAGTCATTTTGCCACAGATAGTGCGAAGGGCGCCCTCTGGAGTCATACAACGGGGGAGTGAGCTTAAAGGATCTTAGCAGCAGATCTGATGTGACTGAATTTGCTATAAAATAAATCTTACTTTATGAAGGAGAAGAGGGTGGGAAGAGAGGTTAAATTAAGACTGAGAGCCCAGTTAGGAAAATTAAATATCATTTGAAAAATAGTTACTTGTTCAGAACCCAATAATACCGGCAAGAAAAGAAGATAGCCTGAGAAGGCCATAGCAATCGGACAGGGGGGCGGGGAGGGGGTGGGGGGTGTGTTATGATTGAATTCAGCTCTGTAGAACCTTCCATATTTGCCACTAGGAAAGGAAAGACAATAAGCTATCTCTAGCTCTCCTGTAAGAACCCTAGATCCTTAAGGTTCTAGCCAGACTTACTGTTTTGCATTTGTAACACAGCAACAAAAATTTGTTTTAATATAAGAGATTAATAAAATCTTGACGTTAACCTAAAACATTAACACTCGCCCCTGAAGTTTTAAGAGACTTGGGTACACTTAACTGTTTTACAGGTGATAGGTGGCACAAATGATCTGCACTCAACCACTAACCTAAAGATTAGCAGTTTGAACCCACCCAGCGGTGCCACAAAAGAGAGGCTTGCTTCTCTAAAGATTACAGTCAAGAAAACACTACGGGGTAGTTCTACTCTGTAACACATGGGGTCGCCATGAGTTGGAATCAACTCAATGGCAGTAGGTTTGGTTTACGTGGTTTAAACATATACATTAACTATACAGAGGGTCTTTTTCAATTTTTTACATGACAGTTTCACTTACAGCATAATTTATGTTAGGCCGAAGGTAATTTAAAAAGCATAATTTAAGTGTGAACTTAATATTTAAAATGCATTATAGTCAACTGAGGAAATTAGACAGGGCATGTATTTAACATTTGAAACTTTTAAAGAAACACTAACAGGCCATGTGGAGCCCTGGCGGCACATTGGTTAGCAGCCACTAGTTCGAATCCACTAGCCACTCCTTGGAAATTCTATGGGGCGGTTCTACTCTGTCCTATAGGGTCACTATGAGTTGGAATGGACTCCATGGCAATGGGTTTTTCCTTTTTTTTTTTTTTTATAAAGAGGCCATATAGCCAGCACCTTGCCCTAATCTTAAATAGTTCTGGATTTACCTCTTGTTTTATTGAATATTTCATTTTTACCTTTTATAGACAATTTATTAACATTAAAAAATACTAATTTCAATCCAAAACGTCTCTCTTCCTCATAGTTATCAAGCAACACCTAGAAGCGGTGCCAAGTAATTCAGTGAACATTAAGTATTAATATCACTGAGTATTAATATTAGTATCATTAATACTAACAACGCTATAAAAAAGTTGCTACTCTTCCTACTTTCTAAGAATGTGTAAGCATGATAATGGGTAACTTCGCCAAGATCACACAGCTTGTGGTGGTGGAGCCAGATTTCGTTCCCACCCAGCAGTCGGAACCCAGAAGTCTGCTCCTAACCACTAGATTATCCTGCCTCTCCAATTCACTACTTTGTCATCCACCTCATCCTCAATGACCTGAGCGTATCCTAATGTTTTCAAAAACAGCTGATCGTGCTCCTGTCTGATGTTGCCACCGTGTTTTCTTTCTCTGTTTAACTACCTGACAGTCTTAGGCCGTGTAAATACTCTTGGGGTCTGTCCCTGACTTATGATCGGCCTGTCTCTACGCTGAAGAAGGTGGAGAAGCGAGATGACCCGGTTTGCCCGGGAAGTGAGGGGGCATGAGGGTTCCCAGGACGCAGGACTTTATCAGTGCTAAAACCGGGGAAGTCCTAGACAAACCTGGACAGGTTAGTCGCCTTATAAATTGTGCCAACGGTTAAGTTCTAATGATAACTAACGATAGTGCATAAAATAAGTAACAAATCCGGTATTTAAAACATCTTCTCAAACTATTTAATGGGGCGTCAATTATTTGTATCTAAAAGGCATCCGATAAACCAACATTACTCCAGTTTTCTTCCACGATTCTAGACCGTCTCGAAACCAGTCAAACCGTAAAAAGGCCCCAGGGCGGCCCGCAACAACCTGCAGACACGCTCAGGTTCTCAACTTTGCTCTAAACTGTGGAGGGGCTCTTCGTAACCCTAGAGTCCCACGGACAGCGCGCGCGCCGCCCCCGTGCGGCCACTTGACGCGAGACCAAGGCCCGCGCGCCGACGCGGAGCTCACACCCGCCCCCACGCACCCCGGCCGAGCGCGCGCAGAGAATTCCGCGCGAGCCCGCGCGCCCGCCCCCGCCACGCCCACACTCACTTGTAAGGCACCGGCCACTGGCGTCGGGTGCGGTCTCCAGAGACCTGGGACCAGCCGGGGGCCGCAGTCAGCCAGAGCAGCCCTAGGGCCCAACGCCAAGGCGCGCGCCCCGGGGCCGCGCCCCGCTGCTCTCCGGCACCCAGGCCGGCGCTCCCCGCCTGCGCCATGCGGCGGCTTCCCGAGCTTCCGAACCTCCCGACCCCCGCGACGGCGGACGGGCCCTTGAGCCGAGCATGCGCGGAGCTGTTCCTCGGGCGCTGGGCACGAACCCAAGCTCCGAGCCGCGGTCGGCTGCGGGTCCCGCCCCAGCCGGCGACTCAGTCGCCAGATCCCGCCCCCGGAGCACGTGACACCTCCCCTGAGCGCGAAACGGAGTGAGGCGTCGGCGTCTTAGCGCGGCCTGTGTTTCCTCTCCTCCCGCGCTTCATGCTCAGTGGCGGCTTCCACCCTTTTTCAAGGAGGTAAATGATACGGAAGGCGCTTCTATCTGGCTCCTCAGAGAGCTTTGGGCCTCCTCTTCATACAATTCAAAGATCCTCTTCTGTAGAGCTTCCTCAGACTTCCCCCAGCAACAACAACCCAAACACAACCAAACGGCTCTGCGCCCTTCCTTTGAATAACATCAAGCTCTTAATCCTCCAGGGCCCAGAGTAAGTGCCCACAAATATTTGAGTGAATGAGAATCTTTATTTGGAGGTGATGGGTGTGGTGAGGAGAGCTAGAACAGTAATGGGGAAATGGCTTTGTCTTCACACGACCTAACTTGGTGATGATGACAATGGCCAACGCTAATAATATGTGGTCCATGCAACTATTCTAAATGCTGTTTAATCCACCTTTCTCCCAGATGTTCTTTCTGGTGTGAATCTGTCACTTCAAGGGGAAGAAAATTATATGTTTGCCTCTCTTCTTTGACCCTTCAAACATCTGAAGAGAACAGTGGGATCAACTGCCCAGCTTTCCGTGAGACCTTCGTGCCCTGGCAGGACGTTATAAACAAATGCTGACTTACCCCTGTAAATAGCACATCAAAGGCCTTGTCAGGTAGCAAAAGAGAACAGCCTGCAGGGTCCTTAAAACAAGGCTTTCCAATTTCTTCACTTCGCCCACAACATGTGTTGTTGTGTGCTGTGTAGTAGGTTCCTACTTAGAGCCGCACGATGTGACAGAGTAGAATTAACTGCCCCATAGAGTTTCCTAGGTGTTGTGTGCCTTCGGTTGATCCAATTCATAGGGACCCCACGTGACAGAGTAAAACTGTCCCATAGAGTTTCCTAGGCTGTAATCTTCACAGGAGCAGATTGCCAGGTCTTTCTCCAGCACAACAGCTGGTAGGTTCAAACAGCTGACCTTTTGGTTAGCAGCCAAGCATTTAACCATTGTGCCACCAGGGCTTCTTAACTAAGCTTCTAGGTGACTCCAAGTCTCCTCAAACTAAGCTTCTAGGTGAATCCTAGTTCTCCATATTCCACCTCCCAACTCAAAATCCTTAAGGCTAAATTGGCTTCTCTAAAGACCCACCCAAAATGAGAGGTGAAAACATTCTAGCTGTAAAGCTGAAATGCAGCAACTGCTTTAAAGGGCCTTTGCAGGATTCTTTGTGGGCCTGCATGGGAGCATGGCTTGAACGCGAATTAAAAAGAGCAACTCTCCAAAGTAACATTATAGCTTTTGCAAATAGTAGAACTTAGAGGTCTGCAGTCGAACTTCCCATCCAGCTCAGGACTTCCCAGTGCTACACAAACTAGCTTCAGGTTGACCTTGATCTGTGGTGGAGACCTTCCATCCTGAGTCTGCAGTTTCTTTACTCCGTGTGCAGGCAACTCTAATGGCTAAAAAGTGTCTCCTCACATTGGCCCTAACTCAGTTTCCCATTTACTCTGGTCAGGTTTTGGCCTCTGGTGATATGAATTAAACCTCTTTCCTCTTTGCCATGACCCCAGCACCCCAGGCTAAAGATACCTGTAGACTATTGTCTGATCCCTCATCATCCTGGTTACTTCCCTCTAGTACGTGGTTTTTAAACCTTAAGAGCCCGTAGATCACTAGGAACAATAAACTATGTTGTTAGGTGTCATCCAGTTGGTTCCGACTTATAACAACCCGATGTACAACAGAACAAAACACTGCCTGGTCCTGTGCCATCTTAACAATCCTTGCTATGTTTGAGTTCATTGTTGCAGCCACTGTGTCAGTCCATCTTGTTGAAGTTCTCTTTCATTTTCATCGACCCTTTACCAAGATGATGTCCTTCTCCAGGACTGGTCCCTCCTGATAACATGTGCAAAGTATGTGAGATGAAGTCTCACCATCCTCACTTCTAAGGAGCATTCTGGCTGTACTTCTTCCAAGACAGATTTGTTCTTCTGGCAGCCCGGTATATTCAATATACTTCACCAACACCATAATTCAAAGGCATCGATTCTCCTTTGATCTTCCTTATTCATTTTCCAGCTTTTACATGCTAAGAGGTGATTGAAAATACCATGGCTCGGGTCAGGTGCATTTTAGTCCTCAAAGTGACATCTTTGCTTTTTAACACTTTAAAGAGGTCTTTCGCACCAGATTTGCCCAGTGCAATATACATTATTTGATTTCTTGACTGCTGCTTCCATGAGCATTGATTGAGGATCCAAGTAAAATGAAATCCTTGACAACGTCAATATTTTCTCTGTTTATCATGATGTTGCTTATTGGTCCATGTCATGGATTGAATTTTTGTCCCCCCAAGATATCTGTCAAGCTGGCTAGGTCATGATTCCCAGTATTGTATGATTGTCTACCATTTTGTAATCTGATGTGATTTCCCTATGTGTTGTAAATTCTATCACTGTGATGTAATAAGATGGATTAGCAGCAGTTCTATTGATGAGATCTACAAGATTAGGTAGTGTCTTGCGCCAGTCTCTTTTGAGATATAAAAGAGAGAAGCTAGCAGAGAGACGGGGACCTCGTACCGCAAGTGGATGGCTTTTAACAAAGAGAAATTTATTCTCTCACAGTCCAGTAGGCTACAAGTCCAAATTCAAGGCATCAGCTCCAGGGGAAGGCTTTCTCTCTCTGTCAGCTCTGGAGGAAGGTGCTTGTCATCAATCTTCCCCTGATCAAGGAGCTTCTCAGGCACAGGGACACTGGGTCCAAAGGACGTGCTCTGCTTCCAGTGGTGCTTTCTTGGTAGTATGAGGTGCCCGATTCTCTGCTTGCTTCTCTTTCCTTTTATCTCTTGTAAGATAAAAGGTGGTGCAGGCCACGTCCTAGGGAAACTCCGTTTACATTGGATCAGGGATGTGACCTTAGTAAAGGTGTTATACAGTCCCACCCAATCCTCTTTAACATAAAATTACAATCACAAAATGGAGGACAATCACACAAATCATGGCCCAGCCAAACTGATACACACATTTTGGGGGGGACATAATTCAATCCATGACAGACACTTTATAGCTCTCCTGCATTCTCGGGAGAAATACTGTTTTCTGTGTATTCGTCATCTGGCTTTATCTGCCTTTCATTCCAGCCTGATGAGTGAGTGGCAGGACAGATTTTTAGAGTACAAACTAATTTTTTTATTTTCTCACTTGTTATCCTATGTTTATTATTTTTGGCATTAAAAAAACATTATTCCTAATGTGTTTTAGAAGAAGGGGCTACACCAGGCTGCCAAAGTGGTCCATGAAACACAAAGAAAGGGTAAGAGCCCTTGCCCTAGACACACTAATTTTATGCACTAATTTTAAAGCAAGAGGTTAACAAAAATCTTGAAGTTAACCAAAAATATTAACAACTTTTAAAAAGTTTATGAGACTTGAGTACACTTACCTATTCTATAGGTGCTTACCTGGTTTAAACAAATAAATTAACTATATATAGGTCTTATTTTCAAATTTTTGTTAACGGTTTCACTTACCTACAGCATAATTTATTTTAGTTGAAAGACAACTTAAAAAGCATAATTTAAGTGTGAATTTAATAAAGTTTAAAAATCATAATACTTATTTATGGAGGGGATTAGAGAGGAGCATGCATTTACTTATTTGCCCTGGTGGCACAGTGGTTAAAGTGACTGACTGCTAACTGAAACGTCATCGGTTTGAAACCACCAGTGGCTGAGAAAGATGTGGCAATCTGCTTCCGTAGAGTTTAATGGCCTTGGAAACCCTGTGGGGTCACTATGAGTCGGAATCAACTTGACAGCAGTGGGTTTGGCTTTTTTGTTTTTTATGTACTTAGTATGTTATACTTTTAAAGAAACACTAAGAAGCTATAGTTAACTCTCCACTCTAATCCTAAATCAAGTAGCTTTGGATTTACAATCTCTTACTTGTTACATTGAATCTTTTAAGAATTCTTTACAATCTTGTACTTATTTATTATATTTTTTTTACTTCTATTATGAACTGCTTTTTTTTTTTTTTTTTAATTCTCAAGAAAACAAGTTTCAGAATGGAAACTTCTCTTCTTCATGGATATCTAGGAAAAGGTAGCAGTTGCTCTAGGGGAAGGCTTTCTTTCTCTGTTGGCTTTCTGGAAGAAAAGTCCTTGTCTCTTCAACTTCTGCTTCTTGGTTTCTTGGAGATCTCCGTGAGTCTTGGCATCTTTGTTACCCCATCTCTCCTCTGCTTGCAAGTTTAATTCTCTTTTATATTTCAAAAGAGATTGACTCAAGATATACCCTACACTAATCCTGCCTCATTAACACAAAAAAGACAACTCATTTCCTAATGGGATTATAACCGCGGCCATTAAAAAAAAACAAAAAACCATTGCTGTCGAGTCGATTCCGACTCATAGCAACCCGATAGGACAGAGTAGAACTGCCCCATAGGATTTCCAAGGAGCAGCTGGTGGATTCGAACTGCCTGCCTTTTGGTTAGCAGCCATACCTCTTAACCCTCTTAACCACTACACCACCAGGGTTACCACCGTAGGTATACAGGTTAGGATTTACAACACATATTTTGGGAGGACATAACTCAACCCATGACTTTCCACCCTTTGGCCTCCAAAAATTCATGTCCTTGCCACATGCAAAACACATTCACCCCATCACATCATCCCAAAAGTCTGAAGTCAACTCCAAATCCAAAATCTTATCTTCTGAATCACCTAAATCAAATATGGGTGCGACTTTAGGTGTATTCCATCCTGGGGCAAAATTCCTTTTCATCTGTGAACCTGTGAAACCTAGAATACAAGTTATCTATTTCCAAAATACCTTGGAACAGGCACAAGGTAGACATTTCCATTACAAATATGAGAA